GTTGTTGAGAGTGTCATCTCTTCTGCCATCATCTGTTGGGGTAGCAGCATCAGAGCCAGGGGGCTAAACAACCTGATAAAGAAGGCTGGTTATGTTCTGGGGACGACTGTGGAATCTCTGGAGATGATGGTGCAAAGAAGGATTTTACATAAAATCAAGAACATTGTGGACAACCCTGACCATCCTCTTCATCAGACTGTCATAGAAAGACAGTGTCTTCAGTTGGAGGCTTCTTCAACTTCCCTGTAATACAGACCACTACAGAAGATCTTTCCTGCCCACAGCCATCAGCATCTACAATAAGTTTTTAGTTAAATGAGTTACAACAACACCTAATTTCCCTCTGGGATCAATAAAGTATTTTTGAATTGAATTGAATGACCGTTCTGTACTCCTCACTTCTATGTTTCTCCCACACTACCTATCATTCAATGTGTCTACATTTGTTTTTTTCTATTGTACAGTGTCCTGAAAGGCGCTTTATAAATAAAATGTATAATAATAATAATAATAATAATAATAACGTGTTGACGGCAAGAGTGATGAACTAAATCAGAGTAATTAGTGGTGCTGAGTTGGGGAGGTAGGTGATGGATTGGAGACCCTGAATCAAATTCTGCTTGAGGGTCTCTTAAAACATTGATGAGGGCTAAAATCATTAGATCAATAAAAAGACTGGAAAAAAAAAGAAAATTCTGCACCAATGGCTTTGTTTCAGTCAGGAGGCYTCTGAATGTTTCTGTTTTCAGATTTAGCTCTTTGTGTTTCAGGTGGAGCTCTTCACGTCCACGACTTCTCCATGGTGGATGCGGAGTGGCTGGTGAAGAACGCAACGTACCGCCCGCACTGCTACATGTGCCGGACCGACAGCCAGTCCGTCCGATTCATCTTCTCGTCTCAGCGGCCCAGAGCCCTGCCGCTTTGCTCGCCTTGGGTCCTGCTGGAGGAGCTCCGAGCCAAAACCATCAACGCCACGGAACTGGACAACAGGTAAATCCATCTTTGCAACTCTGTTGTTTTATTATATATATACAGTATAAAAAATAAATGTTATATTAAAACAACCCCTTTTTTAATTATACCCAATTCAGCTGTATCTGAACAAATAGACTCTGTAAAGTTATTTTAAATTTCTACGTTTTAGGATAAAATACCAAATTGAGACATTTTTAACCCTGAAGCATGAAGGATTATTACTTATAAAAAAGTGGGTTTTTACTTGATACAGGTGCATTACTTTACAAGAAGCAAACGTTTTAGTGCTATAAACAAGTTTTCGTTTCTCTCAGCATCATGAGGAACCTGACACTGTTCACTGATCAGGATCCAGAGGCAGCGTACCCCAGTCAGGATGTGGTGTGGGGTACGTTTGAACAGACCTTCCTCGCTCTGTGGGGTCTGGTCACCTACGCCCCCGTCTTCAGAGACTACTACTACCAGGGCCTCACCCAGTTCTACAGGGACAACGTCATGTACCTGGAACTGCGTGCTCTCCTTCCACAGGTACGGTAGCGTCCCCGTTTGTGTCGGTTCTGTCCGGTGTTCTGCGTCATCGGTTGATACTCTGTGCCATCGGCGCTCAGGTTTACGAGTTAGACGGCAGCACCCACGACCGAGCCTGGACCCTGAAGACCTACCAGGATGTCACAAGGCAGTTTACAGCAGAGCACCCGGACTTCTTCGGAACAAGAATCATTGTTACCATTAACAGGTGACACTTCTGAAGACTTTTTAAATAAATCTGATCTGTCGTTTTCYGATGTCCAACAATTCTGGACTTTTAAATAGTAACTTTTGCAGAACTTATTTCTAGTGGCAGAACAGGTTGGACTATGGTTATTTGATGTTATTTATTGTTTATTTTTATCATCCTACAGTCTCTGACATGTTAGATACATTTGAAAATGAGGTTTTGAAAAAATCCGTAAGACTTGAAAAAATCCGTAAGATTGCTCTATACGTCCGTATACCTGCAAAATGACGTAAAATCCTTATAACTTATGGACAATTCGTACAACTTGACATGTATGCAAGTCAATCTTGTTGAAGCAGAAACAATATTTTATTTTGTAACATTTTGCGCTGAAACTTTTAACTTCCTGTCTTAAGCCAAGCGCTTTTATTTTGAAATGTGGACTTCCTGTTCAGCGCAGTTCTTAATGTACGGATGTAAAAGAGACCTGAAGCATCGCTAAAAGTTTCATTTATTCTGGCACCCCCTTCGAAGAGGCAAAAGGTTTGTTTAGTTAAAGCATTTAATATATTTGAGTATTTTTTGTGTTAATGTGTTTGTTTTTGCATAAAATTAAGGTAGTAAGTTAAGATAAATGATGTTAGCTAATCAGTCACATATGTGTTTCAGCTCTTATGGTGATTATTTACAACTTTGTTGTTGCATTAGGGGTGTAAATGCATCAGTGATGACCAAAGCTGTGGAGGAAGCAATGAAGCTGAAGAAAGGTTTCCCTGATTTTATGGCTGGTTTTGACATGGTGAGGTTCAACATGAGTTATGCAAAAATCTAAAAAGCAAAAACATATGGTGCTAACTTGTTGTGTGGATCAACAGGTGGGTCGGGAGGATAGGGGCAGACCCCTGTGGTATTTCAGAGATGCCTTATCACTTCCTGTGGAGGAAGGGGTCACGCTGCCTTTCTTTTTTCATGCTGGAGAGACAGGTGAGCTCATCCCTGCTGCATGTGGTGTAGAGGCATGTGAGGACAAGTAAGTTTCCAAAAAGTTCTTTAAAGGAGGTTAGAATAGGTTTTTATTGTTTTATCACACATTAATAAGAAGTAGTTTTGAACAATTATATCACACATTGTCTTTTAGTTACTGTTTATCATAACATAGAGAATAAATAGCTTATTACATCAAGCTGAGGATTAAGTCTAAACTGATACTGTATGTGGAGAAATGGGCAGCTGTAGTGCATTGATATAATGAACACAGGAAGTACTCTATCTGAAATATAATCTTAAAGTTTTGAAGAACTTGTTTGAGCAGTAGCTACAAAAAAAAGATTTTGAGCGGAAATCCTCAATTTGTTTTGGTCATTTTTCCTGCGAGTTTGCAAAGTTTTTATTTTATATTTTTCTTTCCAGCTTGTAAATCATAAATATCCAAATATTATTTGAGGGTTTCTCTTTAAAATAGCATCAAAAATTAAGATTCAGACTAAATATTAATAGGTTTTCTTGATTAGAAAGAGAAGTCAAAGCATACCTCCTGATATCAGGATGAACCAGGTATCAAAATGTAGCTTAAAAAGCAGGAATTTGTGTTTTTCTTTGACTCTACACCAAGGTTATAATGGTTTTGGATTTTTCACTATAGTTTAGTTTTATTTCTTTGTGACTTTTTTATTTTGATTCAGTTAGTTTTAATTAGTTTTTACAGTGGATTTGCTAGTTTTTATTAGTTATTATTGCATTTTAAATCCTTAGCTTCAGTTCAGTTTAGTTTTTATTACTTCTAGTATTAGTTTTTTTATATATATTTTGAACAAACATATTTGCCAATGCATCCTCCAGTTTGTGATGTTCCTGTGACCAACAGCTATTTGGTCACTAGTTAAAGCAGTTCATTATAGCAATTATTTTAGGTCCTTCCTAAAATAATKGCATAACTCAATTTTGCCAACTAAAAACTTGGGTGATTATTTTAAGACAGTAATAATAGTTGTCTCTAACTTGGTGCTACCTGTTGCTTGTTTTTTACAGGAGCTACTGATAGAAGCTAGTGTGTTAAGATAGTCATAGTTAGCCATCTGTGCGAGCTTGATTCATGCAGTTTTTTCCTTGAGAAGTATCCCACCTGTGTTATCACCTGTTTCCACTACAAGACACTTGCTTTTATTTTTCTTGCAGTCACATTCAAAGAAATCTCAAAGTGGACTTTGCCGTTTTCTCCCAACTTTTGTTGTCGTCATTTAGCAGATGATGCTGAGCAGCAGCAGACTGTAAACAAGTGTTGTTACGGACCACAAGCTGCCCACAGCTAATGTGAAACTACTCAATTTAAAAAAATCCACACGGCTCAAAATAAATTGACAAACACTAAAACTAAGGATATTCTATCTAAAATTTCAGTTAGTTTTAGTTAGTTTTGTAAAAAGATTGTACAGTTTTAGTTATAGTTTTTCATTTTATTACAGTTTTTATTTATTCCAGTTAACTAAAAAGTTTTTTCAATTGCAGTTTTCGTTATTTAGTTAGTTGTAGTTAACTATAATAAGCCTGCTCTACACTTGGTAGACCTCGAGGGCACTGACGTGGATCAGAACCTGTTAGATGCTCTGCTCCTGAACACGTCCCGTATCGGCCATGGGTTTGCACTCCTTCACCATCCAGTGGCCAAAGATTTGTCCAGGAAGAGAGGGGTGGCTGTGGAAGTGTGTCCCATCTCCAACCAGGTTCTGTTTTGTTTGTTTTTTGCAAACTACATCTTCTAACTGCTGGTGTGTGCTTCACATTTTCTAAAAACTAAAACCTGTTACTCTATTTCTTCTTTCTGCAGGTATTAAAGCTTGTAAAAGATCTGCGAAACCACCCTGCAGCTGCTCTGATGTCAGAAAATCACCCGATGGTCATCAGCTCTGATGACCCTGCCATGTTCGGCTCATCTGGTCTCTCTTATGACTTCTATGAAGCTTTTGTGGGTTTTGGAGGCATTAAATCTCACATAGGCTCCCTTAAACAACTGGCACTGAACTCTATCAGGTGAGGCTTGGCTGCTGTTGTATTTGAACAAAATGTGTGGGTTTTTATTATTATTTATTCTTTTTGTCCTTTTCAGGTATAGCTCTTTACCTTCAGAGCAACAGAATAAAGCGATGTCTGAGTGGCAAAGAAGATGGAATAAATTTGTCTCTGAAAATGATTTTTAAACAGAAACTCAAACTCAATATTTGAATACAAACCCCATTTTTTGGAAATGATTTTTGTTTTTACACAATAAGCTCTATGTTTCTAACTGACATTCTTCAGCAGGTGCTCGGTCACTGGCTGGCTGTCTGTTCTGCAGAGAGGAAAGGTTACAACAAACTAAATCTGGCAGTTTTCAAGGGTTTGTTGCAATTAAAAGAACTTAAACTTCAATATTTATTATTGCCTAAAAGATGAGCTAATCATGTTAGAATTATAAAATAATTGTGACTTTACTGTAAAATGAGGACTGCCCAGGTGATTTGTCAACAACAATCTGAAATGTGAACWCTTGTGTGCTGCTACTGTAGCTGTCAGGGATAAATCAGTTCTGCTCATTAAACTGAATATGAAGCTGTTCTCTGGTCATTTGATTTGCATTTCAGTTTATTTTCTATTTACAAAACGACGTCCTTTTCAGGGCTGGGTTTGCCAATTGGCTCGTGCTGAACTGATTTTTACCCGTTGAGTATTTTTGCACAGCTAGCACAATGTAATAAAAGTGAATTGAGCTGCATTGTTTGTACTGTTCAGTGTTGATTAAATGTTTGAGTGAAAGTATAAAGTTAAAATGTAATTGTTATGAATTTTTTTTGTAAACAAGTGTTAAACATTTGGCTTTTGTATACAATGTTTTTGATTAGCTGCGCAATAAAACTTCCTGCAGGAATAATGTCACATCTCATTCTTTGAGAACTTGCTCTAAGTGTCAGCACTAAAAAACGTGTTCATTTGGTGTCAAATGTGCAAACTAAATGAGACAATAACTGTTGTTTTATTGCATAGCTCTTTTTATTCATTGTTCCTCAGCCACACTGGTTTTTCCAGCACTTCTCATTACGRTGAGTCATCCATCATCTGCTGCAGGTGTTAAATTGTGAGAAGAAGCTCTCTTCTATACAGCCTCTATCAATGTCTGGCTTCCTGAAAATAACAGTTTAAATGCAGATTGAGTCTGTGTGAGAGGAAACATTTAACTTAAAAAAGAAAAGAAAAAGAAACTCACTGTTGTTTGTGAGTTTGAGCCAACTGAACATTGACGCTGTCCAGGTTCCTCCTCAGCTGCTTCTTAAACCTGGCCTGCTGCCGCTCCATCAGCAGAGCCGCACGAGCCGAGTCCAGGCGGAGGCGGTCGTAGCTTTCCTCCTCCTGCTTCCTTTCGAACTCCATCCTCTAGAGATGCACACGTCAGACGCATTAAATAACCACCCTCGTCTGGGCTGCGTATTTACAGGCAAACACTTTTACCTTCTTCTCCTCTACTTGGTTCTTCTGGAACTGAATGACCTGCTGCAGGCTCTCAGGAGGGGCTTTTCTGTCTTTGCTGAGACACAGGCCGGGCACTCCCACACGGCTCTGCAGCACGTTACTTTCCCCCTCATCCTGATGGCCTTTGTCCTCAATCTGATGCAGAAAGAAAGAGAAAACAGGGTTCCTGCAGATCCTTCAAAAGTCTCAAAAGGCCTTGAATTCATCAATCCAAAAATAAGGCCTTAATTAGCCTTAAAATGTCTTAAATCAATCTTCAGAAGTCTTAAAAATGTTAACACATTGTAAGCAGGATGGCTGTAATTCGTATCGAATATTAAAATAATTGGTAACATTTATTTTTGAAATATTCCCATTCASATGTTCCCTTTTGACATCACTTCCTGTTATTTCACATGCAAGTATCTCGACAACTGTCCCACCTGAGCAATGGGAAATTTGTTTTCTAATATGTTAATAATGTCTTTGCAAAAAATGCATTCATTTTTCGCACAAACATTTTACATCATAGGCACTTTAAGGATTCATCTGCAGCAAGCTGGGGTCGAGAACCCACTGTGGGTCAAAAAACTCAAAATTTTGGGTCGTTAAGAGGATTTTCAGGAATTAAATTAAGTTTAAAACTGACTGCGAAGACTGTTTTTGTAGCTATATTTGATAAAAGAGCAGTTAGATATGGATAAAAACAATTGGTCTATTAGCGATATTTGAATAATTCAACCAAAAATACTTTGATTCATGAGTTTTTGCCAGTTTAAATTTTTTTTTTTTGTCGTTAATTGTGAAATTGGTCTTTAATTTACCGGTAATTTAATTTGACATTAAAAAGTCTTTAACTTGCCTTAAACTGTAGGGACCCTGGAAAAGGTGAAAGGTATTTAATCCAAATGCATTTAATCATGCAGACTCTTTAAAAGCAGGATGATATAAAMGTRAATAAGAGGAAGGCAGGGASATAAAGTTAGAGAGGCCGCACTGAGATGGTTCGGACAGAGGAGGGACAGTGGGTATATTGGTACAAGGATGTCCGTTAGAAATACAGCTGCCAGGAAAAAGAGAGGATAGAGGATGACTCACTGTGGCAGCCTTAAAAAGGAAACAGCCAAAATAAGAAGAGGATTATTTGAATTTCAGGTTAGAATTTCCTGCTGAACCAGAACCAGATCAGCGACATTCATCTGGTAATTTAAGCAGTTGTTGGAATAACTTACCATGGCTCTGTTATAGTCGTTCATGGCAATGGCAGCTGCCCTTCTCCTTTCCATCTCAAAGTTCTGTTGCTCTACAGCCTCGTTGTCCATTTCTACCCTGCTTTGGTCGTAGCTCTGGTCTAAAGTTCAGTAGAGAAGAAGATGTGAGCGTGTGTTGTGTGCAAACGGAGCGTTTATAGTGCAAAGAGAGCGCCTGCCTTCCATCAGTTGCTGACGCCTCTCTTCCTCCWGCTCAGTCTGCTGCTGGATGAGCCAGTCCCTGAGCTGCTCCCGCTGTCTCTGCCGTCTGCCCTGACGGTCCTGGTCCTCACCCACCAGGCCAGGCAGCAGCATCCGAGCATCACTCTGGTCCATCTTTTTGAAGCGGTCAGGGTCATTCAGATCAAACTCACGTCGGGTCCGAAGGTGCTGGTTCTGAAACCTGTAGGTCTGGAGGTTTTTCTCCATCTTGCGCTTCTCCTTCTCCTGTCTGTGCTGGAGAATACGGGCTGCTTTGTTCTGTTGGAGCACATCAGCATCTGTTTTGAGATGACAGGTCACATACAATTTTATTATGGTGTTACAATTAAACCTTTATTTAAGCTACATTTTTATGTCATTTAAGTTTGTTTACTATTTTTCTGAGATTAAAGATGCATATGAAATGTCTAAAAATAAAATAAATCAATATTTTCTCTAAGTTCATTCCATTTACCATTTTTACCATTTTTTTGAAAAACTACTCCACCGTTTTCCATAATTTAGGATAACCTTTGATTTTATAGTTTACAATAAGAACCTGTTGAGACATTTTGTTACTCACTGTAGCCATTTTCTTCCATTTTTGCGTCTTCTTCATCTTGACTCTTCTCTTTCACCTGCACGTCTAAAGCATCTTTGTCAACCTTTGAAACAAATCAGCACATTGATTTATTCAGAGTTGTAAAGTAACTAAGTACAAATACTTTGTTACTGTACTTAAGTAGAACTTGTGGGTGTCTGTACTTTGCTTGAGTAATTTTTCAGCCTACCTTTTACTTCTACTTCTTACATTTACACACAATTATCTGTACTTTCTACTCCTTACTCCTTCCTACATTTAAGAAAAAGGGCAAAATGTATAAATTTGTTACTTTTATTTCATTTTTGCTTGTTTTCATTTCTACGGAGCCCGTCTGGTGACATAGTATTAAAAAAATTATCATGTGGCAACGAGAATGCGTGTGCATAATAATTATGTTGTGGCCACCACATATAACTAATTATTGTTGTCATTTCCATGCAGACTGTTTGTTGTTTACATAGACTGGTCTGAATTAACCTAATTTCTTTTTATTTTACCTTAATTGATTTTGATTTTAATAGAATGAATGACGTTGCTACGTCAGCAACTTACGTTAGGCATGAAGTAGTTTGTTAGCTTTATGTGCTGCAGCTATAAGTCCCAGGTGACAACTGGAGTTGTTTATTTGTCAAAAAAAAGCTTTATTTTCTTTTCTGAAGCTCAACTTTCAAAAGTCGAGGAGCACTCCTGTCCCTCTGCGCCTCAGCTGCAGAAGGAGTCGAGTTATGCTGCGTTCAGGAACACAGTAAAAAATCTGTTCCTCGACACACAACTAAGGCATTCATTGTCATTTCATACATGGTCTACTATGATAGATGATCCATTTATATTGGCATACACCAAATAATAATAATAATAATAATAATAATAACAACTAGACATGGGTTTTTTTTACGATGTAAAAACAAGTGTGCATTGCCACATAGCATCATTGCCGGCAGCATTGGACTTGCAGAATGAACTTTGACCAAGTTCAAATGTGTTTTCTATACCAGCTTGTGCCTGTCACGTCAGCAGGTGTTTAGAATTAAGGTTATCGTGTGACAATATGAAGTTTGAAGAGATTTTTTGTTAAAGTTGCATTAGCTGGGTTTTGAACCCTGATCTCCCACATTTTCATGACATAGACCATTAGACCAGTGGAGCTCTGGAAGAAGATGGTGGCAGGGGTTGGTTTGTATGTGTGCAGAAAGACGCCACATTGCCAATACAATTATAGACACAAAAATGCATAATATTACAACAGTCAAGCAGTATTAAGACAATATTATAGTAAAACACCAAAATACAATCATATTAGTACTGTAAACACTGAAATACTGAGTTGAAATATTAAACTATGGTGCAGTACCAAGTTGAGTACAGCATGGGGCAGTATTGGACCACCACAAGGCTCCGTTGACTGCCATTATATTTCGTTAAACATTAATATTTCATAAACTATAAGTTTTACAGGCACCAAAAGGCATAGCCATCTTTTGGCACACAGGGGCTTTACAGATATAAATTACAATGGCAGCTCTAGGACAAAGTATGCAGGAGGAGAAGCATGGCAAAGTTGAGATGACTTGGGTGGGAAACAAATCACATGTGTGCATTGCATTGGCAATGCACACTGATAATGTGTGCATTTTTGAACAGCTAAAGAGAAAACAATGCAGGCTATATATAATCTGACTCCAATAATGTGTCTATCACAGTAAGGCTGCTCAAAATTAGCCTATTGCTGGCCACATTAATTATCACGTGCGCACACATTATCTTGTGGCCATGTGATGTATATTTTTTTTATTCCATGTCACCTGACAGGCTCCGCACATTCCAGCTTCTTATTGTAAAAAACTATCCATATAAGTTGTGCCTCCTAGATAGAATGAACTTATTGTGGTTGAATGAGAAGTATAAATATATAAAGTTCTGATACTGTAGTTTGTACACAAACAAATCATGTCACACTCCAGCAGGACATAATCATTAAAATAAAAAGGACTGTACTTAAGAAGTATTTGTATTTCNTATTAGTACTGTAAACACTGAAATACTGAGTTGAAATATTAAACTATGGTGCAGTACCAAGTTGAGTACAGCATGGGGCAGTATTGGACCAATACAAGGCTCCATTGACTGCCATCATATTTCGTTAAACATTAATATTTCATAAACTATAAGTTTTACAGGCACCATAAGGCATAGCCATCTTTTGGCACACAGGAGCTTTACAGATATAAATTACAGTGGCAGCTCTAGGACAAAGTATGCAGGAGGAGAAGCATGGCAAAGTTGAGATGACTTGGGTGGGAAACAAATCACGTGTGCATTGCATTGGCAATGCACACTGATAATGTGTGCATATTTGAACAGTTAAAGAGAAAACAATGCAGGCTATATACAATCTGACTCCAATAATGTGTCTATCACAGTAAGGCTGCTCAAAATTAGCCTATTGCTGGCCACATTAATTATCACGTGCACACACATTATCTTGTGGCCATGTGATGTATATTTTTTTTATTCCATGTCACCTGACAGGCTCCGCACATTCCAGCTTCTTATTGTAAAAAAACTATCCATATAAGTTGTGCCTCCTAGATAGAATGAACTTATTGTGGTTGAATGAGAAGTATAAATATATAAAAGTTCTGATACTGTATTAGTTTGTACACAAACAAATCATGTCACACTCCAGCAGGACATAATCATTAAAATAAAAAGGACTGTACTTAAGAAATATTTGTATTTCATTAATTATTTTTATTGCATTTGGCTGCAGCCCTCAGATAGATTTTCATTTTGGGGAAAAGTTTTGGGCAGCCTTGATATATTTGGCCTGCAGGCCTTGAGTTTGACATGTGACCTTGTAGATAAGTGACACACATATGAACAAAATGTGTGACAGCTTTCACCCTCAGCTGTGAACAATAATGTTGATCAATGACATTTAAAGACCTCAGTTAGCCCTAAAGCACTAATCAAGAAATTAGTTCCCCTAATAGTGCTTTAGAGGAACTGTGCCCACTACTGCAGCGAGACTAGTGCATCCTACATTTAACATAAATTATTTTAATACAACATAGTCATTTCTGCTTTTTGGTGTGGTCACCTCCTAATGGCATTACAAAAAAATGTAACTGCTTATATTAAATCAATACTTTTACTTTTAATACTTAAGTACAAACATATCAGATACTTTAATTTTACTCAAGTAATACTAAAGGAGACTTTAACTTTTACCAAAGTATTTTTTTGATAAGATAGGTACTTTTACTCAATTATCACTTTGTGGTACTTTATACAGCACTGGTATTTATTTAGTTAAATCTCATCATAGCCATTAGCTTCCTGCTATCGCTAACCACACAAACTTACCCCAATCGTCCTCATTTTATCGTTAAAAATTCGTTCCTGCCTTTCCCGTTCCTTTTGGCGACGTCTTTCCAGATTTGTTCTGGCGAGGCGGTCGGAAATGAGCTCAACGTTGAACATTTTGAGTCCGAGGTTTGTTTGTTTCGAGACTCGAGTTTTATTACTGGAGACCACCGAAAAACTCCACAGCGTCAAACACACCGGTTGCTAGGAAACCAGAAGAGGCGTTCGTSAGTTTCCGTAAGTCGTCGGCTCTTTCCGTTGTCGTCTTGCGTCTCCGCCCACAGGACATTACGTTCTGCAGAGACCCCTACTTGTCTTTTGTTATGGCAAGCCCTTTTAGCATAAAATCGGATTCCTGCCATACTTGCTTGGCAAGAGGATTTTTTGATCGAGTTTATTCAAGAGTGAGTCTGCAGCAACATCCGACTCAGATTATTTCATGTTGAGGAATGACACGTTCACTTCATCCAAGGATTAGATTCTGCAATTTGTCC